ATATATATATATATATATATATATATATATATATATATATATATATATATATATGCATACATTCACTGTCCGCGCCATTTTGATATCGTTATTAATTACTTGGCGATAAATAGCCGTACTTACAATTTATGTAATGACTTATACTTTGTGCGACACAGGTCCTGTATGTTCTGTTGATGCCAGCGCTTGATCCTATATCCGATAGGGCATGCGAATTCCAATTGAACCTGATAAAGAGCGGAGAGGCCGGAGTGATACTGGATATGTTAACGAAAAACAATTTCCTTTCCAATGCGGATGAGACGACGAAGAGATCCGCTTACCTGACAGTTCTTAAACTGTGCAAGTTTTTGCTGACAGTAATGGCAAACGTGATGGGGCTTGTGATGGATGATATGCCCTTCACAAATTCACTAGGCAATCATGACAATCAAACGAACAAGCAAGTGCCGATAAAGGTATTGAAGCAGGCGCTGCACAGTGTGCCTAATAAAAATACCGAGTGCATGCTGAGGTCGGTTGCGGTGAACCTCGCCAAATTCCTCGCTAACGATTTGCACATGAGTGCCTCGGAGCTGGACAGGTGTAAGCAGCTGCTGCTCCAGGCGCTATCATGGGAGTTGCCGGATGTGGCTACCATTCGTGCCATAATTAGATTAGCCTGGGCCGCATCCAGCGGCAGTTTGAATCACGTCAACGCGTCCTCTCAAGTTCTTCACGAGATGCACGAGACCAATGCCAAGGAGCAGAGAAATCTAGATAACAACGACGTGTTGGGTAAAGCATCGTTTTATTTTTATTTTTAACTTTGTACGTGATTCCTCGTTCGATTATTACCCGTTATTTTAAAGTTTTTTGTAAAAGTAATTTTCACGGGAATTTTCTAAATTTTCCAATGTGAAAATAAATATTTACTTTTCTTTCTTTTTTTCTTTTTTTTTTTTTTTTTATTTATTTAAAATTAGTTCTTAATATTATAAGTTTATGATCTCTGTAGATTTTCAGTAATCAACATAATTCAGGACTCTTAAATTAACGTTAAAAATAAATTTAGTGTCAATTTTAATATCAAAATATCCCTAATATAAACATGAAACAATTAGTTACCCGAGTTCAAGCATAAAGGAGGTGCTCGATTGAATTATTTTTAAAAATGAAATCTGGATCTGGAAACTAGAAACAGCAAGCACTTTTTCGTCAAATTATCAAATATAATGATTTAAAATAAATGAAATAACATTGCCAAATTATAAATCTGTATTTATATTAATTTATATTAATTTATATTTACGTAGTAGTGCACTTTTAAGATACAAACATTTTCAACCAATAAATAGGCCATAATAATGACTTTGGCAACGTTTGGTAATTTTTAATAAATTATTAAACTTTATTCTTACTATTAATGTGAATTTCAAATTCACTTAGTTTCTAAATAATCTATTAAAACGAACTAGTTTATAAAAAGGATTTATAAAAAGTAAAATAAGGTTTAAATAAATTTTGTTTGGTTATTATTAGCAAAGGAATGTAAACAAAATTCAACTGTAAAATATGAAATTCTACTATGAGCTGCAAAATATAAAAAATGAAATTCACAATATTATATATGAAATTTATTTTAGTAATTTTATTAAAAAAAAAAAAAAAAAAAAATTATTTAACAACCATCGTACGTCAAGTAACTATAATAATTTAATAAAAACGAAATGTTTTTCATTAGGATATACTTATGCATTTACAACTTGTGCTTACGTGTAAAACAAAGAAGAATTTTATCGTAAAGCGAACGTCGTAGGGAGCTAGATAATTCATTAGAGTCATGATATTTAATAAATTCAGTTATTAAACAATTCCAAACAACATAAATTACAATAATTTTTTCGTACGATAATAATGAATGCTTCCAAAATATCAGGATTTCGAAGTAATATTAAAAATCCGAACCGACTTAATGTCCCCCAAAATAGTTATTATAAGATTATTATTTAGTTTAGGTACGAATATTGAATGAAAATATAAAGACAGACGCATTATGAAAAACAAAAACAAAAAATAATAATAATAAATAAATAAATAAATAAATAAATAAATAACGACGAGACGAAAACGTCAATATCAATTCGTTTTTGTTTCAGTTTGCAAAGAGGCATTGGAGGTACTGACGATAGCATTATTACTGAATCCAAAAGCATTGGAGGATTTGACAAGAGACTGCATGTTGCACAGTATAGTTGAAAACGTCATGTGGAACACGTTTTTAATAGATCTTGTGCTGGTCAGCACTTCGCGCGCGATTCGTCAGACTGCTGCCGAGCAATTTTTATTAATATCCACGTGGTGTAGCAGCGCCCACCAGGCCCTCCAATTTTTTATCACTCGACTGCTCCCAGTTATCAATACCACTGTAATGGAATACGCCAAGCAGAGTCATGAATTTTTTCAAGTAAATATCCACCCACACATTGTCTCTATCGGCAGGCAGCCAAATTTTATTAATCGCCGTATCCGACGTGTTAATGTCCTATGTTATGTTGTAGCTTTTATGTAAGCTGTTGGATTACGCCAACATATCGGGATGCCCACTGTCGTCAGCTGAAAATTGGTTGAATATTGAAATTGCGTGGCTGAAAGATGTGCGCGATCGCGTCCAAGAAACTGGAGACAGTCAGGTGGACGAGGCAATTTTAGAGGGTCATCTTGGCCTTACCAAGGAACTATTGTCCTTCTTACCGTCGATCAAGAAGTATGAATTGGGATCCGACGAAAAGCGAGGCATTAAACTAATTAAGGTAGTATTTGAGCATACGTTATAATTGCATTTGCTACTTTTTCACCTCCTTACATTTGTTTAGTTCGTATTATCTAAATCACCGACTTTCGCCTCACATTATCAATATCGATAATCGTCGTATTGTCTGGGATCAGACTAAAAACCTCCTTATGATGGTTGATATAGGCTTGCTGGCAAGTGGAAGGGGCAATGGAATTATTCAATTATTCTGCCTTTAATGTTTATAGTCTTTCCTTTTATTAAATATAATAAATAATGAATAGTTAATAATCTATGAATATTGGAATGAGTATGTGATAGAATGAATATATCGGTGTTTCTTCAGTAATGGTGGTGGCGATAAGTTTGCACGTGTATTATTGATAGCCTGGAGCGTGATTCCCCTTCTTCCTTAGGGTTGAGTAGTCGTAGTGGGGAACTGGGACATTGGTGCACGTTCGTGTGCTCGATGCGAGCGTAACCCGCGGTGTGAGGTAATATGCAAGAACGAGAGTCGACGTTGCTTGCACGTGGTGGCTGGAACTGTTTGATGTGCTAGCAGAGTGGCGATCGCGTGGTGAGGTAATATGCAAGAACGTGAGCCGGCGTTACTTGCATGCAGTCGGGAACTGTGTGATGTGCTAGCTGGGTGCTTGTTAACTTGAAGAAGTAGTAAGGAACGAGCGTGGTGCGTTGCTTACGGAGACGTGGGTGCCAGTATGGTTATGGCATCGCTATTAGTTCCTCAGGTTGCTCGATGCTTGCCATGGCCTCCCAATGACGATGGCAGGGTTGGGGGATAGCGATCCCGCTGTGAAGAGTGCATGATTGATTGGTACTAGCAAGGAGCAATCGCGACACGTCCCGTTCCTTAAATATTCTCGGACAAACTCGATGCACCGATAGCGCATCGGTGGCTGTCGTTACTATGCCGCTACTTGTCGTGACGTCAATAGCGCATAACTTTTTCGGGGTTCATTTGTTAATATTTCTCGGAATTATAGTCGTATGTTCGAGTTTTTTGGCTAGAAGCATTTATTGAGTCCGTTGATCAATGTTTATCAAACAATGCTTCGCGCGCTCATACCTCTCCCACTTTGTATTCCGCTTAAAACTGTTGTAATCAATCCGTAACAGCAATAATAACCACGTAGTTTTATAAATTTATATATTTTAACTCACGTATACAGATGTTTGCTATTTAACATTTGCATCAATGTTCATGTATGAAAATTCTGTCTTTTTATTTACTTATTCAGACATCAGATTTTTACAATACATTCTAAAACAGTTTACTCTAATTTATAATCCACTCGTCAAAATCTAATTTATAATAATATCCTTAGACAATATTTTATAATCCTCGTATATTAAATCTTAGTCAGATGGTAAAAACAATTTGAAAGTAATGTAGGATAATAGTTCCGCCCGCCAATCATCAATTCATTGATGATTAGAATTCGTGTGTTCGGTGGGAGCTGGCAGGCTATTACGTAGAATGTGGATTGGTCTTGCGATTATGGTTGAGTTAATATTGATACCCACTTTATATGATGTAGTCCGTAACACGTACCAATACCAATACGCGTGGTAAGCAATTAAGCTGTAATTCCCAGTGGAGAGTGTCAATATAACGAGGGGCAAATAGCGTTTGGTATTGCATGTACATTGCACGGAGGTCCCATAGAATGCTTAGAGCGACCGTATTTATAGATTAATTAGAGAGACAAGAATCGGCCTTAATTGAAAGTACAAGTGGGTGGGCCCAATATGGGGGAGGTCATCAATAATTTCGACAGAGCGAATTCGGGTTAATTGTCGGGCTTGTTTATTGGCAGGAATTGGTGCAGGACTTCATATTCCCGGCCTCGTGTTGCATGCTGCAATTGCGGAACACCAGGGAGTTGGGCTCCTCTCAGGCCTGTCCGGTCTGCAGTACACCCCAGTCGACCAACGCGGCCTTCGACTTGCTCGTAAAACTCTGTACGGGCTGCGTGCCTAACATGAATCTTCTAGTCAACATGCTCAGCGACTTGTTCTACTCGGACAAGGACGAGCCTCTGGTCGAATGGGACTACTTGCCGCCGGTCGGGCCGCGACCCCCTCAAGGCTTTGTCGGACTGAAGAACGCCGGCGCGACCTGCTACATGAATTCGGTGCTTCAACAGCTCTACATGGTCGAGAGTATCAGGGTAGGTCTGCTCGCGGCCGAGGGTGCGGCCACCGATCTAAGCGAGGACTTCTCCGGCGAGGAGAGAGTCGAGGGCGAGCAGACGATCGAGGCGACCGATAACGACACCAACGAGGAGAAGTGCAGCGCCGACGAGTCGCGCAAGGAATACAATATCGGCATCCTTAAGCAGGTCCAGGCGATCTTCGGACATTTGGCGCACAGCAAGCTGCAGTACTACATTCCTCGTGGGCTTTGGAAACACTTCAAGTGAGTCGCTTTGCATTTACAAACGTACGCTGGTTTTACGATCGCTGCAAGACTCCGAATTGATTTGACAAAATTTGCCGTCTTCGTGTTTGTAGGCTTCAGGGCGAGCCTGTTAATCTTCGGGAGCAACAGGATGCCGTCGAATTTTTCATGAGTTTGGTAGAAAGTTTGGACGAAGCTCTGAAAGCTCTAGGCCATGAGCAAATTATGAGCAAGATCCTTGGTGGTTCTTATAGTGATCAAAAAATTTGCAAAGGTTGCCCACACAGGTATGCTTGTAATTAATGTGTTAGGTCGCCAGTATCGTGGTGCGCAGTGAAAATTTTATAAGCTAAAGCTTAATGTTGTGTAATCTTAGGTACTCGAAAGAAGAGACTTTTAGCGTTATAAGCGTGGATATTAGGAATCATAGTAACTTATTGGATTCTTTGGAGCAATACGTCAAGGGAGAACTGCTCGAAGGGGCGGACGCGTATCACTGTGATAAATGTAACAAAAAAGTGCGTGATCGTGGCGAAAGTATAAGACGAAAGTACAAAATCTCGACTGCCGAATTCTATTTAAATGACTGTTTTCTTTTCTTTTTTTTTTTTTTTTTTTTTTTTTTTTTCTTTTTTTTTTTTCCCTCCCCCTCCCCCCCTTTTCTTCTTTTTCTTACAGGTTGTGACGGTTAAACGATTGTGCGTTAAAAAATTACCTCCAATTCTGGCTATCCAGTTAAAGAGGTTCGAATATGACTTCGAAAGAGTATGTGCTATAAAGTTCAACGATTACTTCGAATTTCCAAGAGATCTCGATATGGAACCTTATACGGTCTCGGGGCTCGCCAAATTAGAAGGAGAGATTATAGACTGGGACCATGACGAGGCAGTCAAAGGAACGTGTACTAAATATCAACTAACCGGCATCGTTGTTCACAGTGGGCAGGCTAGCGGCGGTCACTACTTCTCTTACATTTTACATAGGTACATTTTATACGAGCCCTTCTTATTATAATTGTACAGCTTTAAGCACCGCACGCACGCCTTGCGTATTTGTGTGTTTGTGAAATTATTCTGTATTTTCTAATTTTCAGACAAAATGATGGGTCTGGAAAATGGTACAAATTTGATGACGGAGATGTGACAGAATGTAAAATGGAGGAAGAGGAGGAAATGAAGTCACAATGTTTTGGTGGCGAGTACGTAGGTGAAGTATTTGACCACATACTCAAGCGAATGAATTATCGAAGGCAAAAACGATGGTGGAATGCTTATATGCTGTTTTATACGAGAAACGACGTAGAACAAAGTTCCCAGTTAAAGAAAATCAATGAATTGTCATTGTGTAAGTATTTAATTGATCGTGTTCAAATTTATCCCAATTTATGCGACCCTAAAAATTCATATAGAATTCGTTCTTCGATTTAGATACGAAATTGGGAGTGTGTAAAATGCCTCTAGCAATCGAGTACAGCGTCAGGAAGCAGAACATTAAATTTATGCACAATCGAAATCAATTTAATACCGAGTACTTTCAATTTATTAGAAATCTTGTATTGTGCAATTCGTGTATCAGTCGACCAAATGAGAAAGTGGTAATTTCCATAATAATGACTATTCATTTTCTATACATATCCATGTATGCATATTATCAATTTATACGTATCTTATCATTCGTAACTCTCTAATTATTATATTGCAGAACCTTGAAAACGAAGAGTTATCGATGTTATCCATGCAATTGGCATCTAAATTCCTATTTTTTACTGGCTTTCATACTAAAAAAACTTTACGAGGAACTGCAAATGATTGGCACGATATTTTGTGCCATCATTTATTAGGAAGTAAAGCGGTTCGCTCGTGGTTTGCTCATAATATTCTATTTAATCATCCGCAAAGGTATTGTACATCTACGTGCACCTATCACACGTATCTGCTTTTAAATTTATAATTAAACCAATCGCCATTTATTTCATTTTTTCTTTTCTTTTTTCTTTTTTTTTTCACGTTCGTTTATTGTTTTATCCAAATTCTTATAAACATTTTAAGGTACTCCGAATATTTGTTGATCTGCCCGAGTACAGAAGTAAGAAATGTCTTTTTGAAAATTTTAATTTTCTTGGCTCACTTTTCCTTACAAGATGGTCCATGCTCACCTTCTCTAAATGCCCCAAGTAAGTGTCTATTAACCATATGGCTATCATTTCATTTGAATTGCGTAATAAACAATGTACGTAATTATTAAAAAAAAAAAAAAAAAAAAAAAAAAAAAAAAAAAAAAAAAAAAAATTAATCATAGTTATGTTATTGGATCCGACGGCAACACTGAGTGATCATATTTTGCATTCTGTGCTTATGTTGTTACATCGAGAAATTGCGGATCATGCACGTCATTTGCCGCACTATTTTGCATTATTTCTTACCCATTCATCGATTGGTTTGCCTCAAAAATTGCAGCTCTTAAAGGTAACTCAATACACTATATATAGTACTGATCGTCGTGGGCCACTATCTTTCATTCGTATAAAATAGAAATACATTTTCCCATATTAATCAACTTATTGGACGTATCATCCCTTTTTATTCAATATCGGGTCAATTCAATTTATTTAATATTGGAAGCAATTTAATATAATTTTATAATTTAATATAATCTTATCTTTCAGAAATTGTTCCAACTTTTATCGAATTTTATTATTTACTTACCTTACGAGATTGTGTATGTTTCATTGACATTATCTCAAAACGCAATTGTAGATAAATTTTTTCATTGCTTTAACTCTATATTTGTACGATAACAGTTGATTGTTTAGTTCAACGTAATACATTAATACATGAAATAATTGATCCGACCAATTATAGAGATCGAGACAGTATTTTTTTCGTTGTTTTTTTTTTTTTTTTTTTTCATCCTGTTGTTTTGCTTTGTTACATATCTACATATTTACTTAACAAATTCAGTAATAAAATCAATTAATTAACGGTATTATGTTTGAAATACAAAAACAATAAAGAAAAAAACAAAATCGTACACATATATACTCGGAACAATTAAATAAACAAATCATCGATAGCTTTTAGTTAAGTATATTCATTACGTGGAATTATCAAGACATGACTTTTGTCGATAATATTTTATATGCAATTTTTTATATTTTTAACTTCACTGTGTTAGAAATTTTAAAGATTTAACTCGTTTCAATGCTTTCTCGCCGATGCGAACAAACGGGCCCAATAAATTATCCATGTTTCGATCCAAATTTGATGCTGGTACAATACACCACATTGAATCAATGCGCTCATTTCAGCTAAATGTACCAGTGATATTTATGTCGGTTGCAATCGAGGAGGGGCCGGGTCCAACGATCAAGTATCAGTTTCTCGAATTAACGAAGCTCCATCAAGTGGTAAGCAACTTGATTCGTTGCTGCGATATCTCGTCGAAAGCACAGTCGAGTAATGCCCTGAACAATGTACAAATATTGCCAAATCCATACGGGGATCCATCCTGCGGCCAGGATTACCTTATGCCGATTCAGCCGGCTGCTGCCGAGATTCTTTTTAATCGTACCACTTATATGAAAAAGTTGATGGAGGATTCGAATGTTACGGAAGAGATGGTCAAGTTCTTGCAGTTCTGCTGCTGGGAGAATCCGCACTTTTCGCGTGCCGTTCTAAGTGAATTATTATGGCACATCGGCTTTGATTATACACACGAACTGAAGCATCATACGGATTTGCTCCTGGATATGCTTTTAATAGAGGATTCTTGGCAAATGCACCGTGTACACAATGCATTAAAAGGTAAATCAACAAAGCTCGGGTAATATACATAAAAGTTCTTTTCCATTTTTTTCTTTCTTTCTTTCTTTTTTTTTTCCTTTATATATATATATATATATATATATATATATATATCGCATTATCCATATTTTTTTGTCATTTTCATTGTCGTTTTCACATGTCAGTATATCATGTTCGGCCCTACCATTTTACCATGCACATCTTTTCAAAGCGCGTTTCTTTCAATATTACATTAATGTATGATGTTCAGGTGTGCCGGACGATCGCGAAGGTCTGTTCGATACGATACAAAAGAGTAGAAGCCTTTGTCAAAAACGGGCGTATCAGTGTATCAAATGCATAGTCCAGTTGCTTAGCAAGTGCAAGTTGGCGCATCAATTTTTGTTTCAAACCGTCGAATTGAGAAAGAAGTGGTTACTGGCGATCGATTGGCTACAAGATGAATTGGATAAGGTTGGTAATAGCGCTCCTCCCCCTCCACCCCCCCTCCACCCCC